ATATATTTACATCAATTTCCGATAGGACTGATAGTTTCTGACAAATTAATTCATCTTCCCTGTTTTTTTTTTATTTTCAATGAAAATATGAAAACAAATTAAACTTTAACAGACAAAAACCTTAAAAAATAACAGGCTCTGTGGAAAATTTTTGCATTTGTGCTAAAGCCGGTTATGTTACAATGAAATCAAGTTACTAATGAAGAAAATCGATCTTTAAAGAAAGAAATAATGAGTAGTCAAATGAAAATACGCAAAGATTTTTTACATAGAAAATGAGCAGGAAATAATGTTTCTCATACGCCACCTACATCTGAGTAACACTCTTTTCTGCGGATTCCGATAAAATACCTATTCAGAAATATTATTTGTATGGCAAGATTTTTCTAGGTGACAAACCCCTAGAAATGGGCGTGGCAATTGCAGGACTAAAGTTTAGAAAAACGCACATTTTATTGCTGAATTCGGCAAAATATCATTTCGTTAACAGCATTTGTTCCACAGCCTTTTCAGTTCAAATATTTCGATTTTTTTTGTGGATTTCTGCAGAACATCTATAACAAATGTTGTTAACGATGGGATATTCAGCCGAATTCCACAATAAAATACGCGTTTTTCTAAATTTTATTCCTGCAATTGCAACGCCCATTTCGAGAGGTTTGTCGCCTTAAAAAAATCTTGCTATACAAATAATATTTCTGGATAGATATTCTATAGGAATCCGCAATAAAATCTAAAATTTTGCATAACCCTGATTTTTCACACCCTCTTAAATTGATCTCGTCATATGTTTCCGAAAACAAAGTACAAACCATAAAAAAAAACAAATATTTTAAAAATAGTTCTTGAAAAACACCCAATTTTGTAACCATGTTTTTTGCAGAGAATTAAACAAGGATTACGACGGTGTAGTTTTAAATCCCAAATTAACGATGAAGTCTCTACGATGAGCCGAACCCGAGACATAATGATTTGAAAAAGTCCATGATTAATCAGAACCACGGAAAAATCCAAATTTTGACAGATCATATCTCCGAAGAAAAAAATTTTCTCAAATACGTGTAGCTTATTTCATCTATAGAACCCACAAGAAAAAATCTGCCCGACTTAATAAACAATGACTCATATTCATCACAATTTCTAAACAGATCACAAAGTGGTGGTTCTAGAGACAATTCTACTTCGCTAGCGTACATTTTGGGCCAAGATTATTCTATCTTCTTCTGTATGTATGTTTTTTATTTTTATGAAAAACGATTATTAAATGCCCATTCCGGTCGAGTTCGTTAAATAGCCGGTATTTCGCAATTTTCTTTCACGGTATCAATTTTTTTTTATGAATCTTGAAAACCCGCATTCCACACACATGCGTCATATTCGTTGGTTGCAAGTTTCCAACAAAATTACTGGTATAATGACGCAGGCATATCCTTTAACATTGCGCCAAATCGTCGGTTTGTATTTTGTTGCTTTTGTCCATAATGTTATTCAAATGCTCTTTTTCAATTCGCATTCTAAAAGCATTTGACCACTATTTACTTTAGCACTCTTTGTTTACCAATGGACAATATTTATAACATTTCCATATTGTCAAGCAAATGTTTTTTATTGTTATTTCTCTCTCCCCAGGGCACACAGAAAATTGCACTACCCTATCAGGCCAATCAAAAGCTGACGGTAAAACAAATATTGACACATTTCACTGGCATGGACGTATCAGCTAAGAATCCCAAAGAGATATTTACAGCCGATATACAAAAGGATTTGCTTTTACTTGAGGAACAAGAGGGTTCGGTGAATTTCAAATTCGGTGTAGTGTACATGAAGCCAGGACAAGAGTGTGATGACGAAATGCTGAGCAATCGTAAGTAGAAAATAAGAAACTATGCAGATACAAAGAGAATAAATTAGCATTAAGAGTATTTAGCTCAAAGACTTTTTAGGTAAAATAAATTATGCAGCATGATTAAGTAGCTTTTCATATGCACGCATACAAAAGCCATAATAAATACACTTGCATACGCATGCGTTGATATATTTACATATGCAATATATTCATTTGTAAGGTAGTTTTTTCCACAGTTTAAGTATGCTAATTGCTAATTTTCTCATTCACACAAATGTTTTATTTTTTTTTATTTTTAACCTAATCGAACAGAGGACGCTAGTCGAGACTTTGAGGACTTCCTGCACATACTGGGCGAACGGGTACGTCTAAAAGGCTGGGATCGCTTCCGTGGTGGATTAGATGTGAAAGGTATGATATTTCAAAAATCGGGTAACATTACTTAAACTATGAAAGTATGTATGTGTGTACATAATATTTAATTCAAAAATTCTCAATAATTTATGTGGCTTGATTTCGTCGCTGAATTTCCCCGAAAACGACAAAAAAAAATTAAAAACAAAAATGTATGTTAGAAAAAAGTTTTCACCAAAATTAAAAATTTTGTTTGAGTTTTTAGAAAAGTTTCGAGTATATTGTGCTCGAAATGTTAGCGGAAAAAATTATTAAAGATCAATGTGAACTCTTAGCTAAGTTGCAAGTAGCACTTAATTATACTAAAGTTTATTTTCTAAGAACAAAAAAAAAAGTTAACTTGCTGAAATTTTTTTTATAAGTATTTAAAATATTTCCTGTGAATTTTTTTTTCGTTTTCAACTAGTTTTTATTATGTAACATTTACTAACTGGAACAGAAGAATCGATTTTTTAAGAGTTGCTAATTTTTCTGCACTNGTTTTCAACTAGTTTTTATTATGTAACATTTACTAACTGGAACAGAAGAATCGATTTTTTAAGAGTTGCTAATTTTTCTGCACTTTGCGCTCCTGGTACTTTTATAAGCTTTTATTAAAAAAAAAAAAATAATGAAAATAAAATTGAAATTGAAAATTGAAAAATGAAAGCTCCATTCAATTGTGAACAGTAAATTGCAGTTTTGAACCTTTTTGCGTTGGTATAATGAGCGAAGCTTAAATCGCTGGGACCAGTAGTCTAGTATTAAGGATATTTTTAATGCCAGTTTGTATTTTAGGTTATTAGCTTTAGGCGCGGGGTTTGAGCCCCAAAACCCATCCCTTGTGTGCGCTAATGCATGGAGAGCATCGGGGAACTCACCTGCATGAGAGATAAGATGTGCTTCCGTAATTCAATGAGAGCAAAAATGTGTACTGCCGAATTTCGTATATCATGTAGTGGTTGTAAAATGTTCCCTACTATGGGAAACCGTAACAGAAGGCTTTAACCCTCTAGTAGGCCAATTTTTTTATGAGTTGAAAAATTCAGGAATGGGTGATTTTAGCACGAGAAATCCAAAACTGATGTCCATTTCGATCTGTGACAGTAACTTTTTCCTACAGGGGAGAAACACAAAGACTGTCTGGAGACGGGCTTGCCGATATACTTACACATAGTTTCAGCTTTCTCTGACACATTGTTGACCTACGAACCGGCGACGCCGTCTGCAGACGGTCAAAAATGCAAAACTGGGGTTTTATATGTCGGC